GTGTGTGTGTGTGTGTGTTTCTTTGTTTCTTTTTGTTTTTTGAAGAACCCTTTCATTTTTATTTCTTTTCCTTCCATATTGTTTCAGAAATGGAAACAATAAATGGAGACACGTTTGTGTCACATGGATGTTCATTTTTGGGGTGTGGCAGACGTACATCGACGGTGCTGCAATGCATCATGGAATGGGAGTGTTGGACAAAGAAGAACTGTATAGTAAGTTAAGCCTAAAGCGTTTCTGTAATGATGTTTTAAATAGCTATTAATCTTCTTGAATATATGGCAAAAAATAAAAACAACAACAAAATCAAGCAAACAAAGGAAAACCCAAGGGAACTCAAATACTTTTTCTATGTTTCTAACTTCTCTGTAGGTGGTAACAAAATATCGGTCACTTTTGATTCCCAAGATCAGAAAACCGAGGTTAAATACAGTAGACTAAACATATGGAGTAAAGTGTTGTCTGAGCAATATATACTCTATATGTCGTACGAATGTGGAACAGAGACTGGAGACCTATTACGATGGAACGACTTCTTGAATAATATTCCTCTTAATAAATCTAGTGATATTCAGATTTACAAATCAACTTGTGGAGGAAAGGAAGGTATTTATTGATTATTTATACATCATAATTCGAAACTATATTTGATATAAACCATGATATAAATCCGCACGTGATAATAATTTCAGGATCTGTTCAGAGCGTAATTAGTCCATTGCTTCCTGAGACACCAAGCTTGGCAACGATAGAGAGCCCGCGATACGAGAGGTCATCTAGTTCCTCTCTCAGATGCTTAAAGTTTAAGTATAAGATCTGGGGATCTGGAGCGAGATCGTTGAAGATATATCAAGAACTGGATGACAATGAACACACTAAGAGACCCATATGGATGGTCAAAGACAGTGAAGACAGTAGATGGAGGGATGGACAAGTACCAATAGTAGCAGTATCRGCATATAAGGTTAGATAATTATTCCCATGAATGATTTGTAGGACTGATGACAAAGAATTCGTGGTTTTGTTTCTTAAGAAAATTACTAATATAAAATATGCAACTAAAATAGTATCTTTATAATATTGTTTTGCAGCTTGTTATCGAGGGAGAAATGACAAATAGATCAGGATTACTGTCTATAGGAGCTTTGCACACTCCTGAGAAAACGGGTAAATGCTTCATGAATCCAATATCAGCGAGAGAAGGTAGGTTAACTATGAAATAGCGTTTCGGAAATTCAATGATTTAACTATACTACTTCACTTCGAAGGCAAGAACTGCACAATAGCGTTTAAGAAATTCAGCGCTTCAAAGTTATGACTAGATTGAAGAATTTGCTTATAACATAATAAACGCTAAAACAAATAATAATTAATAATTATTATTATTATAAT